GGGGTGGGACACATTGTCCAGCAGGGAGGACAGGCTGCCATTCTCCTGTCTCCCACCTCTCCAACAGTGTCCAGAGGACTCCCCAGGACAGAGTTGTCCTTCTTTATCAGAACCAGAATATGGAAATCCAGTTTAGAGCATGAGAGAAAAAAAACTCAAGGATCCAAAGTGAGGCTGGAGTGTGTCCAGGCAGCAGAGAGGTTAGTTTGGTTGTGCGTCACAGAGGATGGTGGACACACACATCCTCACTAACATCAAGCCACACACAGACAAGTAAATGACAAGGGAGAGCAGACAATCTGCCACAATGCAGCCTGATCCCCACAGGCAAATTACAACTCTGGCCAGTCAGAACAGCCTCAACAGTACCAGCTCAGCCCAAATCCAAAAACCCTCTGCACTGCTTTCTATATTTTAAATTATTTCATTCAAGGCGATTTGGATTGAAAGCCGTGTCTAAGAGGCATATAAAAGTGTCTGTATCCTGTCCAGTGCAGCAGGAACTACTTATATCTAAATAGGGGAATGGGTAAGAAAGACAGATTTACAACACCGTAATCGCAGTGGGACATCCGAGGTATTTCCGAAAATCTTTCCTTTGTATTTTGAGCCCTTGTGTATCCATTTGTTTTTCTGTGTTTGTGTGTCAGTGTGTGTGTAAGCTATCCCAGGCAGGGAGAGCCAAGTGCGGTTGCTATTTGTGTAAACAGTGGATGGCTGTTCAGGCCTTTTATTTTACACACCAACGCCACGGGCCCTCTGTGTAATGTTTTATAATAGGTAATTACAAGGAGAGGCTTTTCTTTCCAAGACTCGATATATAACCCAGATCTAAACAGAAAGGCGAGCCTCACCACAGAACCTAAACAAGGTATTGAGGACATTGAGCCATTGTAAAATTAAAAATGTTCCAACATCATTATTTATTCATGGAAGCGCTTGCTTAGAAGCCATGCTCTTTTTCCAGCACCACACTGATTCACATCCATATGGTTGCATACATTCACACCTGGGCGGTGCCAGAGTGGTGAAAGACAGACTGCAGCTCCCTTTCAATGCCTGCTGGGTTGGAAAGATGTGAGCTAGCAAGCCAGCAGAAAAAGTTAAACATTATTTAAAGTGGAATTATGAACTCAAGTCTTCCTGATTTGATTATTTAAATAAAGGAAGAATGGGAAGTAGTATAACATGGATAAACTGCTCACATCCACGTACATACATAAATAATATACATCTATGTTTCCTATCACTGTGGGTGTTACTAGGTATTTATTGAAATATATCAGCAAGGCACCAACAGAAAAGTATACATGAACACGTAACTATTTATAACTATATAAAGTATACATAAAAAAACTAAAAATCTTTAGCACATGCTATGTTTATTCCACAATAAAATGACTGCATTGTTAGGTCTATACTTTGCTTCATGTTTTGATTATGGAACAAGTCTTTAGGCCTTCTGCATGTAAACTTGGGTATTTCTTATCAAGGAGCTGTGGGCTGGGATGACAGATTTGTGTTGATTTTTGAAGTAGAGGGGATGTGAAACTCAACGCTATGTGTTGGAGGGGGTTTACAAAGGATGAGATTCTGAGGGTAAGGAGGCGAGGGGAGGAACCTGATGACATGTTAGATGTCAGGGTTTCAGTGCTGGAGCTGCTGAGGGTGCTGAGTGAAAAGGGGATGAGCTGCCAGCAGCGTGGGGCCACAGCTGGATCCTGACTGGGGATGCCCCCTCAGCTTGTACTATATGCATTTTCTTTTAAAAACATACACACCCTTAAATGACTTAAATAAGTATATGCATGTATATGCATTTGTGATTTTAAAAGGACTATACCGGTGTTGTTGCGAGTAGCAGCTATTAAACTGAAAGTTGTTGGGTAAAATGTACTGTAACATTTTGTGCATGATACTTTTTATGTTACAAGATATGATTTTGTATTATGGTTTTTAATAATACCCTCTAAGGATAGAGGGTGTCTTTTTTTCTGACACTGATATTCTGAACAATCTGTGCTGTTGTATTAGCTGTAAAGTGTCTCTACTGTAGGCTATTTTTATTATATGTACAGCACTTTGGCTCGACCAAAAATCGTTTATAAATATGCTATATAAATAAAACTTGATTTGATTTTTAAGGAATCCTTATTAAGATCTTGTCAGAGGAAAATCCTGGAAATTACTGCTTCTTCTAACTTCTAAAACAAACCAGCATGACTGAAATACGGTATATGGCTAAAATGTGCAAAACCACCGGTATACTTCTTTAGTAGTCTTATTCTTATTAGATACATTTTAAGGTTATTATAAGGCATTTGTTTAATATTTTTAAATGGATATGTTTTTGAGCTCAGTGAGTCAAAGAGATGCTGCACTGAGAGTTTGTGAACATGTGAATGGTGTTGGGATTAGATGTTTGTGTGTACTTAAAAGGAAAGTGTCCAACTAAAAATCAAAGACACCTGTGGGCCTGGAAAGGATTAGATGGACATGAGAGTATTGAGGGGGAGAAAACAATGGACGATCGTGCGATCGCTGCTCTCGAGGGACTGCATTTCCTGCCACAGATCATAGAAAAAAGATGAGAAAACAAAACCTATTGTTGGCTGTTTACAACTACAAAAAGAAACACAGAATTATTACTCAGCAAAACATGAATGTTGCAAAAGTATTATAGTTTGATGGATGCAATAGTGGTGAAATATATACTGATGTGTGACTGTGGCTGCGAGGGAGTGCGGTCTTCTTTCAACCAGAAGGTTGTTACTAGGTACGACTATGGGTATTTTCTTAGTTTTGGGGAAAACTTTGACAGTCTTTTAATGTTTCTTTTATTATCTTTTCTTTTGAATGACTGTTTTTAAATGCCTTTGTCTGAAGGTATTTCATTTTTGTAAAGCACCTTGAATTGCCTTGTGTTGAAAGGTGCTATATAAATTAACTTGCCTTGCCTATATAAGTGCAGTCCATTTACCATGTTTTGGAACAGCCAACAATGAATGGTGGGCAGCGATTGATGTGTTGCACTCTTTATACTTGTGACAGTGTAATTTAGTTATCATAGGAGAGTTTTAGAATGCACGTGTGACTGCAGAGTTTAATGATCTCTTCACTGACATGGAGCCAAAAAGGCCACCAGCAGCAAAGGTTGACTGGTGTCTGTGGACTGGGCGCTTTATTAGGATACAAAGAAGAAAGAACGAGCTCTCCTGGGTCCTCGTGTTACTGCCGCTCACTGACGGCAACAACAGAGGCTTCTGTCAGAGAGGAGGACCAAGTGATTCAGAGCGTATCGAAAGAGGAAGTAAACTAGAAGAGACATAAGAGACGATGTTGAGAGGACAAGATGGATGGAATTGGGTTGGGAGGTTTTTCTCTTAAAGAGGACCTATCATGCAAAATGCACTTTACACATATTATGTATGTATAAAAGACATCACATATTATGTGTCCCCGGTGTTCCAGGGAACTCACCAAGTGTCAGAAAACACAACCC